GAATCGATGCACAGGCAGAAACACATCAAACCATAAAATAAGCCTTTCACTGGTCATAGTTCAATCACCAACTTTGGTACCTCAACCAGGACTGTATTTCAATTTATATTTTGGTGGATACCTCAAAATTACTTTTAAACATGCACTACATCTTCTTAGATGATAGGCCACATCATTGATGAGTTAGAAAACCAGTATTTCAAGGCTTGCATCAGGGTCAATACTGATATTAACCTCAACGGGACCAGGCCAGGTCTCCAAAATATTGGATTTTAACTTGGCATTGGTCTGGATGGTTGCCCCAAGATGATTTCAGTTCACTAATTCAGCAGGAAAACTTCAAACGTCACATTATTTTAAACATGTTGCTATTTCCATCACCAAACATTTTTTTTTTCAAACTTCTTGTTAGAACTAATTTCTTTTATGCTGTTCATGATGATTTAAGCAGAATGTGAATGCCTGAACCTGTGACTTCACAGCCCTGACTCGAACCAAACAGGATGTCTTATTAGGAGATTACTTGGCTGCCAACTAAGCTTTATCTCAGGGTCAACGGTACATTAGCACTGAGAAATGCAACGCTCACGAGTAACGGTTAAGAAACTGTCACATTACTTCTTGTTCTCGCTATCTGTTTTAAGACCACATAGCATACTGTAGTGACAGGTTGCAAATTATAATGATACTCATTAATACATATATATAAAAGTCTACAGCCTGTCCAACTGCAATCATTCTACACACCCATACAATATTACTTACAGCTACACGAGAGAAATATTGGGGGGAGGGGAGGGTCAACCATCACACAATTTACAAAAGCAACCACAAGTGTAAACACACACAACGAAAAACTGAACAAACTTCAAGGCTCTGAATTCAGCTATTTTGTGACGAATTCCAGCAACATCACAACACTGTACTTCAAGTGTGTTGATTCCTTGGAAACAATAAATGGCAAAATCAAACACAGCACCACATAATTTTAAAACAATACAATGCAATACAATACTTCATCCCTACAACAAAAATAGAAGCTGTTAATTCATACAGAAATAAACAAAATGCTGTTTTAGTGGAAGGTGTGGCAGGACTGGCAGGGTGCATGTTGTTCCGTATCTGATTCAGGCTGTTTGCCAGGCTGAATGGTTAATAACATGTTATAATGAGTTCCTGCTATGAAATTAAGAATCCAAGGCATCATCAGCGCACAATACACAAACAAGAAAAATATGATTTAACTCAAGACACATGAAACACACGCAGACACGCACTCTGGTACACTTTTTAAAACAACATGCTAAAACCAGCAATGGGAAACTTCTAAAGCCTTAACATTACACAGTCTTTGGCGACGTGACACAGTGTAGCCTGGTGGATAGGTACCAACATTTCGGGCATCTCCACCAACTGACTTCTCAAAAATTTTGGTACCTATCTATAAAGTCACATTGTGTCACACACAAGACAGTAATGTTGATTTGTTAACACTTGCAAACAGACTTTCAAGCTATGCCTTGCATACCAGTGGTTTTCAATTGCTTAAATATCACTTCAAGAGAAAAAGAGGAACATGATACTGTTCATGACTTCATGCTATGTCCATCCTCAGATGCACAGCTGTACATACCAGTTCATACACTGGACAAACAACAGAACCGGGCACATTTTATTTCTTACCAGTTTTTTAGCCCTAAAAAAATGCATGTAAAAGTAAAAAAGTAAAGCTATCCCTGTAACAGGCTGTGAAGGCCCACAGGGTTGTGAGACATTAAGGGTCCCACATTACCTTGACAATTGGCTCAAAGATGGCCGTAGGGTTGTCAGCCTTACGCGCCGGCCGCGCTTCACTCCCCAGGAAAATTATTTAATGAAATAATGCAAAACAGTTACTTGAGTGACCTGCACAAGTGTCACCCAATAATCATTATATAAGACTTATAAAAAAGATGGGGACATCACCCACTGTCCAAATTAGTTAATATGAAACTAAATTAATAATTCTATATGAAATGAAATAAAATAATTTGTCAAAACTAGTCTAACAATTCTCAAGTTAAAGCATAAAAATCCCTTTGTTTAATTACCTAAAAAATAACGAGATTTATGGCTGTATGTTTCATGCTGCTACACAGCTTTTTGTCAAACATTCCTTGCTCTTATAAATGCTTAGCAAATCACACTCGAGATGAGCTCAAGCCAAGTCTCCATATTAACTTGTACTCTACTCTCTATACAAATGCAGACATGCAAACACAGTGGGATCAACAGGAACATTTGTTCTAGTATGACGTGTGCCTAATAAAGACAATATTTACCTTCACTGACAAAACAAACATGCCTTAGAGATCAAAATGATTATATTCATGAAGCCCAAGCACCAAGAAAGACCTTAACTTCTTATTTTGATACATCATCACATGCTGCATTCTGTCATGAACAGTATCACAATAACGACATGTTGAAGACTGACAGCTCTGGAATAAACATATATGTTACAACCTGCTTCATAAAGTAAATAATTTTCAGATTTACCCTCATAGCATCATTAGTTACTCTCTTTCGTCTGCTACATAGTGACCCTGTCAGTATCAAGAATGTAGGTGCTAATTGTTGGATGATTAATGAATGTGTAGCAGCTGGTTTTGTTAGAATTGTTAGGGGAAAAGAAATCATTTGGAGGAAACCCATCCCAGTGCCACTCTGTCCACCAGAAATCCCACATGACTTGACCTGGGACTGAACCCAGGCCACCATGAGGACAAGATGATGACCAATCACCTCAGCTATGGCACAGCTGCCAGTTGCCATGAGCTCAATACATAGGTTTTTTTTTTTCAAAATGTAAAAAAGTGCCGAGTTACATCTTTTATGTGTCCCTCACATCAAATGGTCATACTTCACTGAACCTGGCATGAAGGTAATAACACTGGACAGCACTGGGATACACTACCATGTACTTTAAATCTTTATTTTACACAAATCAAAACAGGAGATCAACTTAGTGTAGTGACTAAGATACAGACTGGATTGGAAAACTGGGGCTTGATTCCAGGCAAGGTCAGAGAATTGTTCTTTTGCCACTGCATCAAAACTCACTCTGAGACCCACCCCAACCTCTATCCTATGGATATAGCAGGCTCTTTCCCTGCAAGAAAAGTGGCCACTCACACCTATCAGGTGCAAAAAGGTGAAGAAAGACTGGAGTCCTACTCTCCATGAGAAGGTCAAGGCTCATAGTGGGCTATAAAGGACAATTCTTTACTTTTGGCCAGTAAAATGATTAATGTGTCCATAGCTATCTGTTCATTCACATAAAACTGATTTCAGTCAAATATTTCAATCATTTTCTACAGCAAAGCAAATCGCTGAGCACAGTATACACTCAACTGGTTCAGCTCACATACTTTACTGTCCTGTCCAGGCAGACATAATGCATGGCTTAGAGACACTCAAGCTTATCTGAGAACGTGATTTGTAATATCTGGCTGAATCCTCAAACATAACTAATCTGAAGGTTACACACTGCAGCTGTCACAAGTGACTGGCAGTCTGATGTCTTAACCGCAAGATTTCACAGAATTCTGATAAAAGTTAATGACATGACCATGAGAGAGAAACACAAAGCAGGATGTAACATAAATCACACATCTATCACATTTATAGTGCATGAAAAGAACAGTTTTCCCACGCTTATGCACAGCACGTTCAAATAAAATGTGCTCCTGGCAGTAGCTTCGTGTTCACTTATTCTGTCCTTTGAAGGAAACCACAGGGTTGCTTCTAGTAGTCTGGCACTTTTATGTTGCCTTTTTACAACAACCATTACGTAAGTCCCCATTTTGGGAGACAGAGTGAGTGATGCATGCATGAAAGACCCCTTCTTTCATGGTTCTCTTAGCACACATGCAGTAAAAATTACCACCACGCTATCATTAGCAGCACATTTTAATTTCATTTTAATGTCCTGTATTTCAGAACACATTTTGCTTTCCTTGCCAATATTGCAATACATATAGCAGCTAAAACTTTAAAGAAGATAACATTCAAATCAAGAAATTAAATTTTAAACATATAATTCCCAAAAGTGTGTGAATAAGGGTCCAAATCACCCCCAAAAGCTCTACTGCAATACTTGCATATTGCTTTAACAGCCATGGCTACCATACATATTGGTAAGAGTATGGAGTAAATCTGATAATATTTTTGGGTATTCTCAATAAGATCTATGGTAGGAGAGAAAGAAAGTTTCATATATACGGTTCATGCAGCCTGCTACAATGATGATGAAACCACAGCTAGCACAACACACATGGGAAAACTTTTCTTCCAAAACCATAATCCACAATACAAAAACGCTGGCTATTCTGTCAATCCGGTTCTCATGAATTTATCAGTGAAAGAACCCTCGAATACTGCCCCAAAATAGGCACCGAAATTTGTAATTAATTATACATGTTTTATAACTGGAGAAAATTTCTTTGAAGGGTCCCAGGGATGGCTGTGACATACATTTCAAGCACAAGACTAAGATATATCACTAACTTTTGTGTATAACAACTTAGCACTCTAAAAAAAACTAATACAGTCAATAAATAAAACAGCACAATATGGTATTTCAACCAAAAAAAACTGACATACAAATGTAAAAACATGAGCAAGACACAACTGTACCAATATATGTGTCTTTGTGGCATGGCAGCCAGAAACACAACTTCAGAAGATTCTGCCTTCTGCGATGTGACACTGTGTACTCTGACTGACTGTAACCTGCATTTCGAGGAACCTGCTGCCACCAGCACCTTCCTCTTCTGGGTGCAAGTGAAACATATGAGACTACACAGCATCACATCCCACAAGACTACACTCTGAACACTCCCAGCCATGAGACCCTGACATCTCAAACTTCAAAAATTTTCTTTCATCGGACTGACAGAAATTCTTGTCCCTCAACTTGAGCAAATGACAGAAAGCACAATGTTCCTACTGGCACCTACCTCGTCAAAAAAAACTTGAGTCTTCCTCAAAATATGTTTCAGCTCTGTCAATTCAAGGAAGTTTCGTTTCAGAGCTTCAGCATTCTGGTTCACTTCACGCAACTCATTCTCCAGTTTCTCGAAAGTTGCCTGTTAGGAGAGATTCCACTCCACTTTATGAAGCATACGTGACTTTACTCTTACCTCTGCAACTTCATGTTCAATGTTTATATGAGCTTATCAGTTAACTTATTCACTTATTTATTTATTGTGAATGTACTAATATTGTTAGCAGAATACATGACACTAACAGGATAATCAGTAACACATTGCAAAGGATGGGGAAGGAAGTGGCTGTCAAGCTTGGAAAGGAGGGACTACGAACACCTACAAAATACCTCAGAGTAGTTAAGTCCCTGCCAAGATTCAAGCTAGCTATCTTCGTTTCGTTGTTTACATTCCCTACAGTACAGACAACACTTTGTAAGATGAGGCACCAACCAAACAATTAACATTAATTTACTACNTCAAGTGTTTTATATGTTTAATAGTACTGCAGTTCAGTGGTGTATATATGTTAAACATGTATTTGCCTGATGATGGCTACTGATAGCCGAAACATGTAGCAGAGCCATAGATGGGCACTGACCTTGATATCGGTTGTGCTGTGACGATTAATAAAGAAGTTGTATATCTTCTGATTGATGTTATACAGTGTTAGCTACTGAGGGTGTCATTAAATAAAAAATACATAAACAAATAAAACAAAGCATGAAGGAAACAGCCACCATCCTTCAAACTAACTGAGCCATTACAAGAAAAAGGCTGGAAACTACAGAACCAAGTATAATTATTAAGATTACAGTCTGCTGGGATGTGACATTATGTAGTCTGGTTAGACAGGTACCAACATTTTGGAGATACATAAAGCTTACATCAACTGTCTTGAAATCAGAGGCAAGAAAGCAACATGTGAATGAAAGTGAAGTGAAGAGTTAAAACTTCACTCCTCTATTCATCTCTGCATTTGAGAGAGCAGTCAGTCAAAGTCACACTCCAACTGACGGTCAGTCAGTCTGTCTGGCTGTCTTGGTGTCGAGCCTCATCAGAGCAGTCAGCTTTGTCCTTATTTTTTACCTACACACAAAAACATCTCCAGGAGTGTGTCACTAATCAGATGATGACACAGACTGATGCACTGTCATTAGACAGTTACTGTACTACACTTCAAACAGTATAAAAAATTATCTACTCCATCCAGTGTGACTGATAAATGTTTTTTCTCCTTTTTAATCTTTCGCCTTGACATGTTTCAGTTGGAGTGACCATCTTCTGAAGGACATCAACACATGTGGAAACTACTATTACAATGTGACTTGTCATTATCAATACAAACAGACAATACTATTAGTGTCATGAATATAAAATATTAGCCTTTAACAATAACAGTGAGGTGCCTGAATTTATTAAAATATTCATAAAAACAAAAAACAAACTCGTGGCCTGTAGTCCGCAAGTGAATTATTTTGACCAAGTGACCGCCTCTTGTCAGCGAAATCAGTGGCAACTTTTGTGGATAGAGGGTGTTGCATGGTCAGTGCAATGGATCCCCACAGCCATTAATCTAGGTTTTCTAGACTGGAGCTGCTATTTCCTTGAAATAGCCCCTCAATCATTCTCTCAAAGCTGAGTGGACCCTGTTCCAGACCCACTACTTCTCAGAAAATCTGGTAGGGCCGGGAATGGACCCCACGACCTCTGGATCTGTAGTCAGGAACTCTGATCACTAGACCACAGAGGCGGTCTTTAAAATGTTTATAAACTATTATAATTAGTTTATTTACAAATATGGTTTAAAAAATGTTGATAAAATCTAAACCATACTTGTAAATAAACTAATTATAATTGGAGTTGATAATCTTCTCTACTACTGCTAGTGTGACAGCCCAGAATGAACCAAGTCACACTTCAAACACAGGCTGGAAACCCAAACTGCCATACAGGAGATCTCTTTCGTACGGCTGCCTACTCAAGATATGACATACTCTTGAAGACGTTTCTGACACGTAATGTTTCTTACATGAAATGTACTTCACGTAAGAAGTATAAGAGGCTTGCACTCATCTGTGTACCTCAAGATCAATCATCTCGCGAGGCTGAGGTGCTTCAGGATTTTCACCCGTGTCCAACATTGGAATTCCATCTTTCTTGATTTCCTTCTCCAAGTAACGAAGCTTGCGTTCCATCTCATCACATCGACGAACTTCATTCACAAATTTCCGTTGGAAAGCATTCACATCTGGATTCAGCTGAACAGAAATTGAAAGTGGTTCAGTTCAATGGTGTACTTATTATATTTATTTGTGGTTCACTTTACAGTGCTGCTGGCAGCCTGGACTACACAGTCTCATAAGGTAAGATGAATAACAAACTGGAAAGGATGTGGAAGGAAGCTGTCATGGTCTCATTTGAGGTACTATCTGGCAATTTGCCTAGAGGGACAGACAAAAACTGCAGAAACATCAGACAGGAAAGCCAACTCTTGTGCTGGGATTATAAACTGGGATCTCCCAAACGAAAAGCAGTACTAACAATTCCACCACATCTGGGCAACTATTATAGCATGCAGAGAGCAGATTCCTGGCTCAATCTCGGTGGCCAGTTTATAACCTTTGTGAAACACACATGCTGCAGACTGTACACATATTCTAGATCTGTGAACGTGGTCTCGCCTAATCTGAATCAAGATCTTAAGATCTTAATCACACTCAAATTTTCAACCTTTTACAGCATATATTCTTTGGCAATTTTCTTCAACTTATGCACAGTTTCAGGTTTGAAAACTAAATTGTACACAGGAAATTGCTTCTAAGCTGTCTATTATGTCCATACCCCCCCCCCCAAAATTAAATTACCTGCAACAATCATATGCAAGCTATAATAAGTATGCTGATTCAACTGAATAAACTCCTAGCAAACGTACATCTAGCTGCATATTCTGAATTCTTAGCCAAGATCTAAATTAGGCACATCATAAGACATATCATGACATGCTTGAAAGTCCACTACACACACAAAGTGGAAAGCACAAATGCTGCCCAGTACATCTGCACCTTAGTAGAAATTACCTCATAAAATAATCCTCAGAGATGACATACGGGTACGGGGTTAAAACTGCAAACTGTACACTCCCACAGAGGGTCATAATACAAAACAATTCTACTGGGAAATAACTGAAGTATTCTGGGCCTAGCCTCGTATGTCACATGACTATCGTTCAAGGCCTGTTGAAGAATTGAAAATAGTCGAAAATTTTCTCTGTAATATAAAATTTCATGGCCAGAAACTTGTAAAAATTCCGAATTGTTAAGACCATATACAATACAATTTCGAAATGCCACAGACTAACCTACTTTTACATAAAAATATATACTTACATCTCGAAACTGTACAAGTCCAAGTTCTCCTAATTCTGATACACACGCGTATGCTGCTTCACTTTGTAAAAACAGCTGACATAATGTCATTTCTTCACTACGAAATAAGTTCCCCATTTTTACTGCACTTCGAACAATTACGCTACTAGCAAAACACAATTAATCACCCGCTAGCTGCAGTATATATCCGAATGGCGGAGTCAGGTGATTGGTATGACGTCACGCCAGCATCGATTTAACCGATTCAACAGTGACATCTTTCAGAAAGAAAGAATAATCACCAGAGGTACGAAGTAAGTTTTCATGCGTGATTTTCTAAGGTCGCAAGATGGGACGCTCATAAACCCTCATAAAAGATAGTCGAACAGCAGGAAGTAAATTTACCTCATGCGAGCTCTAGGTACCACTGGCCTATTCGGTAGCACCTGATTCGGACACTTTACAGTTGTTTTTTATTCACGTAGTGGGGGATGGAGTCGAACTGGGTCCACTCGGCAGGGCGGCCACTTGTTGGTCTATTGTTAGCCCTTCTACGTTCTAGATGTTCCTGATGATGTCGATAATGATGTTACATTTCTCAAGGAAGTAGTGGCTATCATAAGGTAAAGCCTTACAAAGACAAGATTTGTATTTACCTCAAGCTAATTTAACTATTTATCAAAAAGAAGTTTATTATGTGGCTATAAAAATATTCAATAAATTGCCCATAGAGATTAAGAACACATCTAATAATTTTAAAAAGTTTAAGGTTGTATTAAGGCATTTCTTGAATACTCATATGTCATATACTGTGGATGAATATCTAAATATATAATTTGTATTATTGCTGTATTCATTGCACTGTCTAGTTGTGTAATATTTATGTATGTATTCTGTGCTCTATATTATTTTATGACTTATTCTATAACCATCTTTGGATCTCTTGAACTTATCAAACCATCTCCTTTATACAGTATTGTCACATGTCAGAGTGACTTTTTGAGTGCTGGATTAATTGACCACTTACAGCTCATAACTACAATTAATTAAATAGTCTCTAATGGTAATTTCTTGAACTAATTACATGTTGTATACTTCTTTATTTTTAAGAAAATAAATGTATATACAGAAATGGCCTAAGCATGCACATTCAGCCCTCTGTAGAACATTCTTATAAAATGAAATTAAAAGATATGCATTTTAGTACATTAAATACACATGGGGGTGTTGAGAATATTTGGACCAAAGAGAGATGAAGTGACAGGAGGCTGGAGAAAACTGCGTAACGAGGAGCTTCATAACTTGTTCTCTTCTCCAAGTACAATTAGAATGATCAAGTCAAGGAGGATGAGGTGGGCAAGTTATGTAGCATGAATGGGGGAGACGAGGAATGTGTATAGGATATTGGTGGGAAAGCCAGAAGGAAAGAGACCACAGGGAAGACCAAGGCGTAGGTGGGTGGACAATATTAGAATGGATCTTAGAGAGACAGGATGGGATGGTATGGATTGGATATATCTGGCTCAGGATAGGGACCAGTGGAGGGCTCTTGTGAACATGGTAATGAACCTTTGGGTTCCATAAAATGCTGGGAAATTCTTGAGTAGCTGCAGAATTGGCGGCTCCTCCAGAAGAGCTCAGCTACATGAGTAAGTAAATAAATACACATGGGAATCCATGGCATCACAACAAATGAAGGTTCCTTAGTTCTCTAACTGTACTGCTGAGGGAACGTGATTCATTGACAAATGATTTTCATAGCTGACATCGCAAGCAGCGTTAAGTTGTATCATGTATAAAAGTTAATTTATTTACATAGAAAACATATATGGGCTACACAAAATTACAATACTTTGAGGTAAGAAGCCATTGGATGGCACACATTAAAAGAAATATCTGGAAACCACAGAAACTGCAAACAATTATAATAGAATCTACTGCCTTATGGAGAACAGAATTTTACCTTAGGAAAATAAATGGTGAGCTGTTGCGGTAAAATAAGGTACCCTACCACTCAAAGATTTTATGTTCCAAATGTGTTGGCATACCAGGTTGATTATGGAAGGAAGACCACTGTACTGCTGGACGTGTTTATATTTTGTGTTATCCTTTTGCATAGATATAGTTTACATTCAAATAACAGTCACCATATTTATGTATACAGCGGTCACATTTTGACTCTGAAAGTTCAAGTCCAAAAATAGAAATGTAGTGTATACAGAAACCAGCATGTCCTGATCTGTGAATTGCAGAATAAACTGATATATGCGCCTTTTTCCATGCAGCAAACTTGTTCAGAATTGCATATCATCACTGCAAAAGCTTCAAATCATATTAAATATTAAAAATATGAAGCCAAATTTCTTCTTAAAACACACAACTTATTTGTGAAAAAGTTCATGATATTTCACACCTACGGAAAGAATTGTCTTATTTATGCAGTCAACCACACCATAAAATAAGCAAGCTAATAACAAACTGAAGTACCTCAGCAGAAAGAAGCATAATTTATAAAGTGAAGTAGATATACAGGAAACAATTAATTTGTTTGAGCTGGCAGAAACACAACACCCAGTGTGTTTCCTCTCGCTTTATCAACAGTGCCTTCAGTCTCTCATAAATGTTCCGGTAACATCAAAATGCCATCCTGTTGAAAATTACTATTTTCTGGCATATACACTATATAGTCTCATAGATCATTAACAACATCCTTCATCTTCTGGATGGGAGAGACTAAATTTGGGAGAGGATAGGAACAGAGAGGACACAGGCTATGATCCTAATCGAACCAACAGGACAAAGGAAGTCCTCTGCATACTCACTGTCTCTCCAGGTGCCCTTGTATTTCCTGCTGGTTCACTCACAGCCATTATTCCCCCATTTCACTCTGTCCTTGGAAAATGGCCCTCTAAAGGCCAGTATTTCTTACACTGTTCCCTTTACTCCTGTTAGTTCCCTCAGGACCTTGGTCCTCTGCTCAGAGTCTCAGTCCAAGTCATTTCTGTTAATATATAAATGCTATTTTTACATGCTTGATTTACTCTTCTACCCTGAAGATGGAGGCATCTGGTTTTTCTGAACACTGGTGATGAGTTATCAGATTATAAAGCATCACATCCAAGAAGACATTGATCTTCATAGTTATCATTGTATCTTAAGACTCATGTTGCTCTATTTCTTTCTTCACATCCAACCACCTTTATTTCAAGATGCCAAGATCCAATAGCCAACAGGCATGTGAATCACTAACTACTAACAGAAAAATGCATATAATATAAGGCAGGATGACAGTTCTTAAGGTGATGAAAATTGAATGGAAATTTTAAGGAAAAAATAAAATTACAACATTTTTTTATTGTAGCCTATATATGTGTCAATGTAAATAAGGATCAAGCCAAAATACTATAGATTTGTGATTACCGAAGAATTACCCATTCTTAGGTCAGGATCTGGTTCCTTTCCTTGTCAATATCACAACACATAGCCGCTAAAACTTTCAACAAGGAATGACACTAAAATTGACACATGAAAGTCTATTAATATAATTAAAAACATAAGAACTGATTTGTGTCCATAAACTCCACTGCAGTTCCTGCTTAAACAGCCATGGCTACCACACATATTGGCAAGAGTACAGGGTAAATTTCATATTACCTCTGAGTGTTCAGTATTGGATTGGTGGCAGGAAACAAGAAACAGAATAGTGCATTTCTATGTAAAAAAAAAAATAAATCTTAAGTTCATTAATTTCCAATTGTATTATGCATTATACATATATCAGAAGAATGCATTGAACTCATGTGTGAAGTAGAAAGGTCAATGGATCAATGAACTTGACATCAGATTCTGGTTAGTAATGTAAGTGAGAGATTGATACGTGTAGATGCAGGATGTTCCCTTCCAAGAAAGAGATGCAGTTGAACCCCCATTTGATATGCCTCACTTTTGGTGTCCCCTCATCTACTATTCAGTTTGCCTGACCCAAAGTCAATAATCTCAGTGTTAAATTTCCTGCATTAGGATTTTCCTATCAAGTTTATTTCTTATGGTGATGGGTTGTTAGTCCCACACCCAACCCTTAACCTGGAGGACCGCCACTTGTTGACCATTTTCTGTGGCTATGAAATTGGTCTTTGACATTAAGGGAAGAACTTGGACTGAGGGTGTTTGAGAACAGGGTGCTGAGGAGAATATTTGGACTGAAAACTGCTGAAGTGGTAGGAGGTTTGAGAAAACAGCATACTGTAGTGATACGTAACTTGTACTCTTCTCCAAGTATAATTAGAATAATCAAGACAAGGAGGATGTGATGGACAGGGAATGTAGTACGCATGGAGAAAAGAGGAATGCATATAGGATTTTGGTTGGAAAGCAAGAAAGAAAGAAAGAAAGAAAGAAACTGCTGGGAAGACCTAAACATAGGTGGGAGGATAATGGATCTCGGAGAAACTGGATTGGGTGGTATGGGCTGGACTGATCTGACTCAGGATAGGGACCATTGGAGGTCTGTTGTGAAGCTTCAGGTTCTATGAAACATTGAGAAATTCGTTTGCAGCTGAGTGACTGGCAGTTTTTCAAGAGAGACTAGCTCCATGGAGTTAGTTAGTTATGATTTCCCTCTGTTCAGTGTTCAAATCCACTGCTCCACATATAAACTTCAAATTGTGGTTTAACTCAACTTTTTGGCCTGACTGAACCTTATGATCTGGGAATTTAAGATTTAAACCTTCCATTATTGTGGCTCTGTATTAGTATTTGTGTTGATATGATGTTAGTTGGGCTTGACCCATGTGCATGGAACCATAAAATTGTGATGCAGGCTGATAAACATTAAAATACTGGATCACAATCGTCTTCTGAATGACATCAATTCTGATCCCCTCACTTTTCACCCAGCATTTTCAGCAAGCGACTCTGGCATGTTCACAGTACAGGATTACATCGACAGTCAAACCAACCAAAACTCGTGTTTTTCAAGCTTTAGAGACTGGGAATGCCTCCAGATGCACGGTCTTGGAGCTTTCAAGCGATTTTATACTTCTCTGCAGTTTAAGCCAGAAATAGGTGCAGAGAAGAGAAGAGACCACAAGGACTGACAGCAGAAATATTACAGCGAGCAGGAAACCGGGCAGCGATAAGCAGACTCCTTCAATTTCTGTAACAGAAAGAGTACAGGTTTCAGACTTCCTCAGTGCTTAAATGTTGGTGTTGATTTTGATCTTGAATCTTTGGAACCTGTGGATGTGGGCACCGTTGCCAGCATTACAGAGGCATTACAGGCGTTCACCATTTTCATAAACATTCGCCTACCTTGCTCACGTCAACCCTGAAGATGGAGGCAGAATAACCTCTAATGTCAGAAATTCTGTCCACATCTACACGTTGCAAGAGCAGAACACTGAAGTACAGTTCTTGTTGAACCGGCAACAAACTCTATGCAGCAGAGTTCCTCTCGAAAAGTTAGCAGACACTGCTAGCCAAAAAGTGCTCTGCCTTTAATGGAACTCATGTTTTCATTATCATGTTCACAATGTAATAATGTAATGGCTGTAATGCCTGTATGTATGGATTTATGAATGATAATAAAATGATAATGATAAAGATCCATCACTGACCCCTACCTGAGTTAGATAACTGTAGTGCATACCCTCCCACTCTGTTTCCTTAACATCAATTTTAATATTATAATTGCATGTATTTCTGCCTCTTCTGAGCAGTCTCTTTCCTTTAGGTTTTCCAGCCAAAACTCTATATGCATTTTCTTAACTCTCACATGCTTGTTATATGGCCTGCCCAAATGTTATTATGTTAAATATGTAGTACTCCTGTTTCATATTTCAGACATTCTGGATTCTAATTTAAACCCAGAATAGCCCACAGTCATTAAGGGTTCATGTGGTTTTCCTCAGTCCCCCCAGAAAATTCCAGGATAGTAATTCAAATTTGGCCATGGCCACGTCCTTCCCCATTTTTCCATTTCCCTACTGAACAATCTATCATCCAGTGCTACATAGTGTGTATAATTGTAGACACTACTAAATGAGTCAAGAATAAAAAGCAATATACCAACCAGATCCGACATTCACAATGGTGGAAGCACTGACGGCTTCATCAAGATCATCTGGAGTTATGACCCTGAATGTTCGGAACACTCTGACAGGGTCACCAAGGGTTGAATTGTTGACCCATATGTCACGCCTCCTCCTTCGGGCAGGGTCAATGTTCTGTAAGAAAAAGTCATATCAGAACATCATCTCCAAACTATTACACAAGCAGCTTATACTTTCGTTGAATTCACTAACACAGAATATTTGAGTTATGTAAATATTCTTCAGGGCATGTGGTGGCATAGCTAGTTGAGGTACTATGCTACAAGCCAGATGGTTGCAAGTTCGATTCCCAGTTAGGTCATTGTATTTTTCAATTGACCCAATCCTTCCAGCCACATTGTGACTCTGGGGTCGCCTCAGCGTCTAATAGAAATATTTACCGGGAATCTTCCTGGGGGTAAAGGTTGGCCAGCATGTGAAGCTGAAAAGCTCACTGCCATCTGTGAGCAGATTATCTTAAAAATGTGGGAGTCTCAACATCTCAAAACCCTATGGGCCTCCACAGTTCATTACAGGGATATCTTTGCCTTCATTTTTAAAATTCTTCAAAGCAAAATGGCAGTTTCATAATTCAGTGGACAATATCTATAATTGTAGATAGTAAAACGTCACTAAATTGGATGGTTCTCTTTTCTTTTCATATATTGTATTTGAGTGGTATGGGATTCTGTAACCCAAGGAACAAGCAATAGGATGAAATCAATAAAAAATTTAAAACAGACAAACAAAACTAAAACAAATGACAGCTCCATAATTTTCCATAAATGAGAATTCAATCATATGATTCCAAACTTACTGTCAGGCAAGTATCTCAAGAGACATACAGGATATAACTTGTACTCAACATTCCAGAGACTGCCACTTTTAAAAAGAATATTTTCAACAGAAACTAAGAGACCTGTATTAATGTACTTCAATTTTGTTTTGAATATAAATATTTTCATAGAGTTCTCTTTTTATCACATAGTATTTGTGTCCTAATCAACTAACTTCACATATCACCCAAATATTGTGTGATTTTATCTGCACTTCCATGCAAAAATTAGAGAATGCAAGTTTCTAGTGCTGTGTCCATGTACTTTCATACTTTAACTTTACCAGCAAGTGTGAGAGTTCAGAATGCGTTTTGTTCTAAGTTTCATTTAAGCTGCAGCTTATTTCCTAATTTCATACCATTTCCCCCCAAAAATTGTTGTCAGCCAGCACAATACATTCAAGTACACTGGAAATGATATGTTGGTGGACTGTGAAAAAATTTGTTTATATAAATATTTATGATGTATCATAAGTAGATTCTTCAGTAATTTGGAATACCTCTTCCCTCTGTTTGAATTAGTGAGGTTTTATTTTAATTCTCTACAGCAGTCCTGTAGAAGCTGGTTAATAAATTCCCTGAATTTTATTGCACCCAAAGGTTAAGTTCCATCAAATCTGTATTAGTCCCTGTATTTGTAAAAGTCAGTACATTTCCTGTCTGCAGCAAGTGATGATCCACGGATGAACACTTAAACAGTATTTAATTTTACTCTGCAAACTGCACCAATTCAGTAGCTTTTACACAAAGTGGACATATGAACCCAATATGATCAACAGACTTTCTCTCATTATTGACAGTTTCTCCATACACTAGAAATACATTTGTTTACTAGCTAAGTGTCATGTGTATCATCATCCACTTGGCAGAAACATCGTACCTGTCCTTGCAATGGACAGCTCTCACAGTCCGTCTTGCACAGCTCAACATTGCACTCCAGTGTTAGGTCCATCACATCTGGAAACTTGAACGCCTGTACCAACACAGACAATGATCAGCATCACTGTCACGAAATCTGAGATTATCAAAATATGAAGATTACAGTCCTCTAGGATGTGAGGCTGCATAGTTTGGGTGATAGGATACCTCAAGGGAACCTACTCACTCAGTGAGAGGAGGGCCTCATGGCAGCGAATACGGAGATTTCAATCATCTGGGATGTGGCATGGTGTACAGTGGCCCCCATTGATATTCCTCAGTATACGATTTTCATGTTTAGTGATTCCAAGTAAAAAATCACAATGTTAAATTTCCTTCATTGAGAAGCATTTCATATATCATATTGCCTGTCCAGAAGATTTAACATTCTGAAGTACCAAGAACATCCAAATAATACAAATAACATTTCAGTTCATTGCTCACAGAGATATATCTTGTCTCTGTTATGTTATTCTTGCATGGATCGGCACAGAATTATGAGGACAAACACAAATTCAAATTCTGAAGTTACATATCCATCATTTTGGTCCTCTGCAGGGCTTCAGGGATGAGTTGTAAAACCTCTTTCAGAGGGATTTAGATGGGGAATTGGGAGTGATCATTACAGGGCAGGAGAGCAGAGTTTTGTGACAATGCTGGAAGTCCTGGTGTTGACACAAAATGTTGGATGGAGCAATGGCATATGGGGCATGACCAGTGTCTTGGAGGAACCTGCTGCCCTATTTTCAGCAGCAGCTTCCTCTGAAATATTGGTACATACCTACCAGGTCATGTTGTCACACCTCAGAAAATTGTATTCTTTTTCTACAACTCTAGAGTGCTACTGTTGTGCCAGACTCCTTGATAGACCATGAATATAGACACCTTGTTACAAATGCAATTAATTTAATTGCAATTACATGAGCCTTCTACATACAACTGATGAATTTCACTTCACCTGGAAGAAGGCGTAAGCAATGATGGATGCTCCAGATGCACCAGTCTCCCTCGTTTTCTGGAATGCCCCAATAAGTTTGGGACGCAGTACACAGCCTCTTTCATCAGTGAGCTTTAGCACATTGACAGAGGATGCATCCTTTGCTACACAATCTCGCACCTGAAACAGACACGTATCTTTCACATAATTAAATACTTCCTTACTCCACTGCCTGCCAATTTATGGGTTAGAGGTGAGGGCCCCAGCTTAACAACTGAGGATGTGACAGTGCGCTACCTGATCAGGGCTGTTGCACGTCTTCAAAGGCCATGACAGATGAATATGGAGCAGTGATGTAGTGATGGTTAGCAAGAGAAAATTAAATGAAGTCTGAGAAAGACTTATCATGAAAAATTTTTGACAGAAGTGAAAAATTTGGAACACTATTATGAACAAGCTCCTATTCAGCCCAAATTCAAACTAGACTGATTGATCTGTAACTACTTATGTAAATTATTAATATGTGGGACCATGACTGAAAAACTGCAAACTGCAGAATACTGAAGTTCACAACAGACTGAATTTCATGCATAAAATTAAGCACTGTTACAGATAATCTGTTAACTCCTCGCTTCCACTTGCCACTTCACACTACCAAGGCAAGGTCAAGTTAAGAGTGATGGTGTAGCTCTTTGAACCTTCTGCTGTGCCAGTGAATCAGTTTAAACAAAATGTAGTAATAACAGTTAGTGTAAACTTCAATATTTACTTCATAAGACAAAGGTGTATATAGGACAGAGTACAATCTAATTTGTTCAACATAATATGTGCATCTCACCTGAATATCAAAGCCTGGATCACCTTCCACAGTCACCACAAGTGTCATGGTTTCACCAATCGTCACCAGTCCATTGGCTGTTGGAGCAAATGGTCCACGCCCCATCTATACATAAAAACAGTGAATATTTTTAGCCCTTCAAGTGTTCTGGTCACATGCAACATCATATGTTTTCAGGTCCAACTCATCAGGCTTATTCACAGACAAAATTTTGTTAGTTATTTCATATTGTTATACAGGTTTACCATTTGAAATGCAACCAAAACAGCAATCACATACTGTGGTACAGAAATGGAATCAGAAGCTGTTTCCCACATTTAATGAAGCCTCCAAAGTTCCTTCATAACACTCAAGCCAATGTCGTCCTGACTGCTAAGCTGCTGATGTGGCCAATTTCACAGAATCTCAGCAGGTGCAGAGATTGTCTATTCATGAGCAGACCATGTCTTCATTCTCAAACATCACTTCACATCATAATCATCTTCTGCTGTCTGTGCAGCATTTAACAATGTGCATCCTGCTAAGATTCCTCAGTCATCAAGCCCACCCCATCCCATCAACTTAGGTCCTGAGAAGCACAGAAGAATAAGAGGAGAGGGCCAATAAGAAATAATAACACTTGGAACACCATGAGCAGACATGCAGACACTGGCTACCATAAGCCTGTCTCGCTGTTAAATGAGAAACATGAGCTAAGAATTAACTGAAGAAAACCAAGAAGCCATTGTGAGCTTTGAGGTTCTCATGACAGTGAATACAAAGTTTACTGCCTTCCAGAATGTGACATCCTGAATACAGGGGCAGTAGGTCCTTTGGGACTTTAGTATATACCTGCAAGATCACACAGCATCACATCTCAGAAGAGGGTACTCCTCAAGGAATCATTAATCAGTTCAGGTTAAAGAGTGAATAATGTTGTGGAATAGAGGTGTTTCTGAAATAACCCATTGGATTATGGAAAGGATTCAAGAATTCACTCTTCTCCTGTTTCCTACTGGTTCACCCTGTTTCTCTGATGGAGCTAATGGGAACTGATGGTTTAGTTTCCATGGTCCCTGCTGTGTCTATATAATCCCATGCTTTCACAAGCCATGTATTTTGCTTGCTGCCTGCTTTATGACAGCTTCTTGCCTGAATTACTCTTCGGTTCTGAAGATGTAAGCAACATGTTCCTCTGATATGTCAGTTCACTTTAAAAGGGCTACACAATGTTACATACCACAAGACAGAATTCTTCATAACCAATGCTATGAGAACCTCGAATCCAACATGGATCATTAAACAATAATAAAGCAGTCGTTAAGATTCCATCTTCAACATTCAATGGGAACCACAATGCCATACCGGGGATCACACTGAACACATAGGACTTCTCTTCTGTAAGGCTGCCTACTTAAGATATAACATGAATGCAAAGATGTTTCAGACACACAGTACCAGGAAGCAACTAAGATGCACCTTGCAGGTGGCACATAGAGTAACCACAGTGCCTTCAAGATTGAAATGTCATCGCAGTTTCGTTTCCTGTTCTATAAAGTTGCCATAACACTGGATCTGGTATGGAACATAATGACTGAATTTTATTTCCTGGAATGAGAATCATGTACCTGTATGTCAAGGTGTGCAACAGCTGTATCGCCACTGAATGTAACAATCTCTTGGTTAAGCATTCCAACAGCAAGCGAGACTGACAGTGATTCCCTGATGTTGCCTTCCCACAGACAACGCACTCTGCGCACAGTGTCCCATACCTGTAAGAGAGTCAGCAATAACTGTAACAATAAGAAGTTTGTGTACATCCTACTCTCTCCTAGCTACAATAATGACACATATTGACACATCCATAGACCTCAAATTTTCGAACTACAATGGAATCCCAATTTAGTGTTCCCACGTTTACAAAAATCTCATTTTTATGAATATTTTTTTTCTGGTACCAGCTGAAAACCATTATACAAAAGATTTCCCACACTTAATTAACTTTGAGTTAGTAAAATACCAGCATTTAGTGTAAGAAATTTTCAAACTTTTGGAGCTTGTACTTTGATTTAAAATTATTGTGGGTCAAAATAAGAATTGATATTCATGTTTTTTGTCTGCCAAAAGTCATTACCACAGAACCATAATATCTAGCACATGACATCACTTACTGAATATTCAATAATCCACATAACTTGTAGTTTCATAACTGATTTGATTCTTGGCTGTGATTCTTTAAATGCTTCTATGTCATTAACTACTCTAGAAATTAATTTTATATTGAATACGTAATTTTATTTATTTCTGTAGAAACAATTTTAGCTGGTCATACCAGGAAACGAGTTTTCATGGTTATACACAAATGTCTTAAAAGAAGATGAATTTCTCATTGTAAATTTACATAACCTCCATCCAGAGAAAACCTCGATTTAGCATATGGAAGGTCATTCCCTCCAAGGTTCGTTATCCAGGAACTTCAATGTAACTTATTTCACTGTACTTGGATTTCCTTCAGCAATTAAGCTCTTGAAAACTTAAAACAGCAGCCTGTCTGCCCTTGTAGGTATATTGAAATGGCAGTATATCCCTGCTGTTAGGAATTTATCTTAATTTTATAATTTACTTTGCTGTTTATCAAGAAACAAAATGCATTCATTGGTTGAAGGAAGGTCCAGAAATGTACATGGCTGCCATCTGTAGATAACAAGATAAAACAAGATATTACTTCGAATATTAAGACACCCTCAGATTTAAGACACATGCAGTTTCTGAGTTTGGGTTTTATTGGAAAAGATCAGAAAGGTGCACATTCCTTGAATTTAGGACACACCTCAATTTTTCACTGGGAAATAATGTGTAAAATGTGCAGCTTATATTCGGAGTAATATGGTATCAGTACAATGTAAACATAAACTTGAGAATGTCCTGCAGATGTGGTGTAGCTGTATGAACCAAGCTGATGGTAGTGTACAGTAAGTTAATGGTTATCCAGTTCGATCCCGGGTCTGGTCAAGTGGGATTTGTGGTGGACAAGGTGGCGTTGGGGCAGGTTTTCTCTGAGTACTTCGGTTTCTGGAACATGATGCTGTATCATTTCATAGATAAGTACTTGGAAGTTGGGAGCTACAGGTTGCTCCAAAACGTTGATTCCTGTTTACAAAACTACATGAAGACACACCCTAGAAGATTGTACTCTTGACTTGCCACTATAAGAACCTCAAATCTCACCACGATGAAACCTGAAGTTACAACATACCTCCTGAATGCCTGGTTCATTCTGAAGCACCAACACGTTTTCAAGATAAGCTTGACCCCCTTCTCTGAACTGGTCTATGAACTGGGTACCACATGCATTGAGACGCACCGTGAATGAGTACCGAGTCTGTCCAGTACCCTCATGCACGTATCGGCATGACTCATCCCTGTAGAAACCCTGAAAAGTGTTAAAAGATGTATACACTGGCCTCACTTTGAACAGTAACTGTCATTGATAATTAATGAATACATCAATAAATTAATTAATGAACAAATAAAGAAGTAAATAAATAAAGTAACAAGTAAATCAGTAAGAAACAGTAAAAATGTTCCTGTGCGTAGGGCCCATGCCATAATAATGTATGATGAACAATGTAACATAAGCTAAGAGAGAAAAGAAGGTATGCTTACTTTAGAATAGATTACACCATTAAATTCTCTGTTGAACTCCAAATTTATTGTCATCTGGTCTTTTGCACACTCCACTTCAATGTTGTGTATGTGTGGGGGATGGTTTCCCTCAATTTCATTGGTTTCTGTACCAATTATAACCTGTTGATCGCCCCCAGCTTCTGGAATAAGTCCTGGCGGTTGAGTTGTTGATGGTATTGGGTATGGCACCTCACCAGGGGGCTGCAGTGTTGATGATGGGGGCTGATGCTCTGTTTCTGGCCGAGAACTAGGAGGGAAGGGAGGATGAGGTGGCTGAGATTGTGGATAGCCAGTCGGCGTCTCTGATGAAGGAAATGGATACTGTGTACTGGGTGGTAAGGGTTGAGGGGTAGGCTGAGGGTAGCTTGGACTTGGAGGTACCGGCTGAGGGTAACTTGGGCTTGGTGGTGGCTGTGTTGACGGTGGAGATGGCTGGGCAGGAAAATAAGTGATACTGGGTGGTTCTGGGGGGGAGCTTGGGGGAAGAGTAGGAGGCAATGTCGGGCTTGGTTGGAACGGTCTTGGTCTCTCTGTTGACGGCTGTTCAGGTACAGGCAAATATTGTCGCGATGGCTGCGATGCTGATGCTTCCTGGCGACTGGAACTCCTTTGAACTGAAACAGTAAATTGCAGATGGGGGCATTACCCTACATATCTACTGTTATCAGACCAGCCCTCAATCTGCCTGCAGTCTGCGTGTACTCTGAAATTTTCTGGGTGAAGGAGATTCTCAAGAAAATCATCTTTTGTCATAAAATGCAAAAGGCAGTCATTCTATGTGAGTTATTTTACAATTCATTCATTTTTTATTTGTTCACAACATCTACATTTGGCAATATTGCCTCAGATATAGAAAACGTCCATATAGTTTAAATATCCATGAGGATAGTGTCATAACAGAATACAGAAAGTACAAATGTAAGTTTAAAAACATCCAGAGAACCACGTTATAACAGAAAACCTCATATACATAATAACAATACACCATCATAACAGTAATTAAAAACACACAAAACACATGATAATGCCACCTATTTAACTTAAATTTCATCAATACTATTTAAGGTATCTAAAATATCTTTGAGGACAAGGTCCCATAATATAAAACAACTTATAGTGCTAATAGATACAAATAAAACATTTATTTTATTCACAATTCATTAAAATTGGTTCCAAATTCAGTCATATTGCAATTACGATTTAAATCTTGTATCTTAAAAATATAGTATAATATTACATTTAATCCTTGTAGTTAAAGTATTCGTCCATGGTATAAAATGAGTGAAGAAATAAAAAAAATTTTAATACCAATTTAAATGCCCACAGTATCAAGACAATGTAGCATTGGATGTTAGGATGACTGATGAACTGCAAGATTTGGAAGGAAGCAATTGTGACCTAACCGAGTGCTAACTCTGTATCTGCATAGAGGGAGTGGGGAAAGCCATAAGAAACCTCAGTCAGGATAGTCAAAGTCCTGGTTGAGATTCAAACTAAGCACCTGCCACATGTTAAATCTAGGGCACTACCACTAGACCAACCTGCCTGTAAAAAGACAAGACAACAGAAAACCAAACATAATTTCTTAACTCAGAGTAAATACTTCTGTGGTTCTGCACATATAGTAACTGCCACCAATCCTTTTTACTCCTGTCATGCAATTAACGGTTCAACCCTCCTGTCAGTATCTGTGGGACATAATGCATTATGGGAGCAGTGACAAAGAAAATTACTAGGATGTGATGTCATGTAGTCTGGTAGAAGGTACTGGGAATCTGACAAAATGTGCTCCCATCTTCATGGCAGAAGAAAAGTGAAGAAAATAGCTTGGTTCTCTCAATTCAAATAATTTAAAATCTGTAGCCTCTGCATAATGAAACCCCACACCCAGTAGAGAATTTGAGAACTACTTCATGAAATTTGAGGTTCTCCCAGCAGTGACCATGAAGATTACTGTCTTCTGGGATGTGATACTGCACTCTCTCATAAATCATTAACAATATTTTGGAAGAACCTGCAGCCTTCAGCTCCAGTACAAAAGAGTCTTCCACCTTGAAGAGGGAGGCAGCAGATTCCTCCAAACTTTGGTTAACAATCTACCAGCCTACATGGCGTCACGGCCCAGAAGACACTAGCCTTCAGTCACCACTGAAGGAAAGCAAATCTCACTGCATAGTTCTTTAAATGGTAGAGAGTAGTAGGATGATTCACTAAATATAAACACATATAATATGTAACTCATACATAATGGACTTACTTTTCCTCGAGGGCTGGGTGTACCTCCCCTGCAGCCATTCCAGTATTGACCTCACTGTTAATTCTGTTTGTCGAATATGTCTGCCTGTGAAAAATGAGACAAAATTAAACTCAAATCTGCATACACATTACAGTAAAGTGATGACTGTCAGCTTCTAAACTGCAGAGTTTTATAAGATTTTAGATCCTCGCAGTGGGACATACGAAGATTGCTGTCATCTGAGATGTGATACCATGTAGCATAGTTACCAGTGCTGTACCTTAGCAACTTCTTGCACTAGTACTGTTGCCTTTTGTACATACATTTAACCATTATCTTAAATGCAACACTTGTTTTCATCTTTCATGTATCTTATTACAATATGTTTCAACCTCACTCAGCCATCATGACAGAAAGAAAGGCTTAAATAAGAGTTGCATTTAAAATGGCGGTTACAGGTATGTACAAAAGATAACAATAGTTACCAGTGCTGCAGAACAATGTACTGTTTCCATATTAAAGTTGAAGTGTATGCAGAACATGAAAAAGATGGTTTAGATATGGGGAGAGTGGGGAAGGGACCAGAGCCTTGACCAGCCAACAGGAGTAGGGGAAGCATACTAGAAAATACTGGCCCTTCAAAAGGTTGTTTTCCAAGGGTCATCATCTACTTACTCTGTGTCTCCTGACATCCCTCTATATTGTGCTGTTTCAGTCAGAGCCACTATCCTTCCAATTCATTCTGTTCCTATAAAACAGTCCTTGAAAGTGCCAATAACTTTGACAATATTCTCCTTACTCCTGTTGGTTCAGAGTTCTGGTCCCTCTCACTATACCCTTAGCACATTTTTCCCATTCTCAGATTATTTCTTCGCCCTGAAGATGGATGTAATAATTTTCTTCAAAACATTGGTAAAAATGTAGCAGACTACAATGCATCACGTCCCAAAAGACAGTATCTTCATTCAGTGATTTATCTTTCCAAAACTGACAACACACAAAAGTACCACAAGCCACATGCAATATACATACTTACCTTCTGCATCATCGAGATCAGGAGAAAAGTTGTCAACAGGGTCTAGTGACCCTGTATGGAAGAACAAGGCATGCCTTTCATCTTCACCTGCAGACAACTTCAGCAGTCCCTGCAGAATGATATATGCTTCAGAAAACACAATTGTAACAGTTTCAGTACATTTGATCCTTTTATAACATGGGAGAGGTTCTTTCAGAATGGAACTATATAATTAGAAACTGCTTATGTGTCCAATTATATGTAGTACATATACAGTACTGTTTCTTAGCACAGCCAAGATTTGAACTAGTCACCTTGTCAGAAATGTTACAGATATGTACAAACAAAAATGGGCTTGTAAAAGCTGCAATGGGCAAAATTAGGACCCTGAAATCATGCTGCTGCCTTCATTGTGACAGATTCATATCCCTCAAGGGCATGAGTAGATGTGTAGTCCTGTTGCAGATTAAGGTACCTCCACCCCTCCCCAATTCCATTTTTGGGATCCTACCATGAGTCAGTCCTCATGCAGACAAAGAAAGTGAATCTCACCTCTCCCAAGAAAAATGCTCTGAGGGGGATATCAGCATTTAACATTTTCATATTAAGCACAGTGAGGGATAGTTGTCCATTTTCTACATAAACGACACCTGATGTTAGTTCCAGTACTTACCATTAGTAGTATTAATCCAGGTATCTTCATATCTGCATTCAAAGTGTCTTGCCTGGAAAATACAAAGATATAGTCACCCATGAACAAACCTCACACCTCATAGAATAAAACATGTTGGCAACACATAGACATAGTTTCAATAGAACATAACTAAAAACAAGGTTAGAGTTGCTGGTTATTGTCATATTTACTAATATTTTCATGTATGATAGGGACCAGCAGAGGGCTCTTGTGAACATGGTAATGAACCTTCAGGTTTCATAAAATGCTGCCGTTCTTGAATAGCTGCAAACTGCCAGCTTCTCAAGATGGCCTCAATTCCAAGAAGTTACTTACTCATTTTTACTGTTCACTAGTAAACTGTACATAGGAGTTGTAATATTTATGAACAGTTCTATGCGGTAATACATCTATTTGTAACTTATAGAAGTTATTGAAATAATTTGTTAAGGAGAAGACCCTGAAGTTGAAGGCGGTATGTTCCTCCGAAACGTCGGTTGACTTTCAACGGATTACAATGCGTTACATCCCAAAAGACAGAACCCTTCATAACCACCGTTGTGGGACCCTCAAATCTTACGATCTGTCTAGGTATTCATAACGTTCATAACACAGCATAATATTAATCCTTCTTCCCGCCCAAAAAAAAAAACGAAAAAATGGCGTCAAGTGGAAGGAAGAAGCGGTCACTTACGGAAGAAGAAACTAGTGTTCTTCTGGACTTATGGGCTGACGATCGTATACAAGCGAAATTCAATAATTATTTTCGCCATAATCTGATATGGGAAGATATCGCCTTAAGAATGAGAGGAATGGGGTACAATAGAAGTGGGAAAGAGTGCTACAACAGAGTAGGTAACCTCAAAAAGATTTTCGCACGAAAGAAGCGCGATTTCGAAACAGGTATGTTATTTTCGGCAATCACAATCATTGTGTCGTTTAAATTTTTCCGAAGTTGCTTACATTATAATGAAATAAAAAAAAACAGGGTATTCGAAACTTTGTTCAGGTTAAGCATAGTTGTCATATGGTTTCAAGTGTGTCTTACAACCATATCTTGCCTTTTGCTGACATAGGAAGCTACATAACGTCAAATAATGATTTACTATTGGTCTTCATCTTCGTATGGCTTATAACCAGATATCACTTTTTGTTAATATAGCAAGCTACATAACCTCTACTAATATTTTAGTATTGGTACTACTGCAAAAACACCAGTCACATATGTAAATATGGCACACACATGAGTATGCACTAATATATATATAAATCCTCAGGTTAACTTTTAAGACTAGAACCACGCTTGCAGTTCCTATTATAAAGATTTTCTAGCCCTTTTGGGTGAATTTCATCAGTATCAACACATCAGAAATATGTAGGATTACAAATGGAAACAATGAGGTCAACTGCTTCTAAAGGACCCAAAAGAGTAAGTGTCTCCGCCTTCACCTGAGGACACAAACAGACCAAGTTTACGAAACATGTTCTCCAGTTTCTAGAATACCAGGCAATGGACAGAGTCCAAAGACCCAGTAATTCTGAGTATTATTCACCCTTGTCAGAACCCTTTAGAATCTACTTGATGCTGTCATGTTAGTCCATGTCAACTTTACCTTAACATATATAGACACACATCTTATTCACAGGTTTTCTCCGAGTACTTCGGTTTCCCCTGCCAATCTTCATTCCATCAAACTCTCCATAACCATAACCACCCAGGATATATATCATTCGAATCATAATTTTATTATCTTTGTATACTATTATATCATTGTGTTATATATTGTATTATTATTATTATTATTATTATTATTACTATTATTATTATTACTTATTGTATTGTAAAGTATTTGACTTGTCCTATATCATGTACAATGATCCATGGATATGATATGAAATAAATAAATAAATTGAGCAAATGAAAAGTTTTGCTCAGGTGGTAACAGTTCTGAGTTGTATTCAAGAAGTGCCTGGTTCAGATCTCGGCCAGGAGACCAACTATCCTGGTTGGGGTGTCTTATAGTTTACCCCCAGTGCTTCTAGGCAATTGCTGGGGTAAAACCTTGCAATAGACTATGACCGACCGGCCACTTGCTTTCATGCTGTTTTCTTTCTCTGCTTCTTCTTAGACCCTGCAGATGAAGGCAACATGTTCCTCTGAAAGCATCAGTTGACTTTCAGTGGGCTGCATTGGCATTGTATCCCAGAAGATATAAGTCTTCAGGCTATGACCTCTTTTACATCCTTTCCAATTCATCATGTATTAATCCACCTACCATTTGACACCAAATAACCTGAACTGCTGACAGTGTCCTTAAATAAACTGAAAATAAAAATAAACATCATACAAAACATATTATTTTAGCTGTTGCTTGTATTGTATTGACAGGAGTTGCTGATGCTACAGACTGGACTTACTGGTCCCATCTGGAAACACTCTTCAAATCAATACCCAGCAGCAGTCAGGCTGTCAATGAAGATGAAGATTTCTCTGACCAGTTTTTAAAAGTAGAAGAAAGTGTTTGTGGTATGTAGACATCCATTTTTTGGCTTACTGCAGCATACTAAAAAACAAAACAAACTCTGTGGTCTGTAGTCCGCAAGCGAACTATACTGATTAAGCAACCGCCGTTTGTCGGCGAAGATAGTGCCAACTTCAGCAACTAAAGGGGTGAAGAACATTAACTTAGTCACAACCCTACAGGCCTCCACAGCCTCTTATAGGGATAACTTTATTCTTTTGCCTTTACCATGTATGGTACTTGTAAGTATTTGAGCATATAATTCTTTAATCAGAATGTACTGAGTATCAGAGCATCAGACAGAATAACATTAAAAAACCACTATTAACTGCCTCGAGTTATGTTTCATATTGCAAAATTATCCTCATTCATTACTACTCGTACCTAACTTTAGCACTTAATACAGCATCATAAAAAGATGTTTCTCACATACATCAGTATTTTAATGTATTTTAGATGATGATTATGCAGAAGAAGAAAATCAAGGTGAAGGGTATAAAGAAGAAGAGCTTATGATGAATGGCAATACAGCATCAGCGATGAGTGATTCGCTAGCTGTACTGATGGGAGATCTCGATGGAGAGGATGATGACGAAGAATTCAGCACCCAGCAGTCTCAGATGATCACAGTACAGCCTTCACCCTCTCCTTCACCGCGCATAAAGAAGAAACCTGCGATGTGAGTGTAAGACAGTACATCCTAAAGGCCAAACTTTCAGCCTCTAATATAAGCCATCTGAGAGCTGAAAGAAGGTTCTTTCTTCTGGTATATAATGCCATGGAGTCCATATATAATTGTCCATCATTCTAGAGGAACAAGCTCTTCTTGTTGCATGCTTCATGCTGATATCTTGCTTGGCTTAGGCATTGACCCTGAAGATGGAAACATTATGTTCCTCTGAAATGGTGGTTCATTTTCAGGGCAGTATACGAAGGGGGACCCAAAAATAACCGGAAACGACCTGTTGCGCGCGCATGCTTTGTAGTTACGAGTTGTGCTGCTAGGTGGTGTTAGCTGGGGGTCTCCCGCGACTGTTATTCAATTCAATTCAATTTATTTACATTCCGTAAAATCCAGATACAGGTAGACACCATAGGATATGGAACAAGTCAAATACAGTGATTCTGCACAATAACAATCTAATCAAAAAATTAATAAGAATACAAATTACATAAATATAAGTTAAATGTCCTTCAATTTGAGACTGTTAGCAGGAACGGTGTCAATGAGTACATCGCTAATAAGTAATAAGATTATAAATTACATAATTAAAATACAAAATTTATAATAGACTGACATAATATCAATCATAACTTTTAAAATACCACAAATTTAGGTAACAATCAACAAACCACAGACATATATGTACTCATCCACATAAATTACTACAAGGAAATGCTATCCTTAGATCTGCAACATTCAAAATATTCATCCAAAGTATAAAATGAATGAGAAATCAAGAAATCCTTCAAAGCAATTTTAAAATCTTTACAATTAGTGAACAACTGCTTTAGATATAAGGGTAAGCTATTAAACAATCTGATACCCATACAGTATGATCCCTTCAGGTATAGTGATAGATGAACTATAGGTTGATAAAAATTAAGATTAAAACAATGTCTTGTATTTCTACTATGTATATCAGTTGTAAACTGATATAAATTTATATTATCAACCACAAAGCATAATAAAGAGTAAATATACTGAGACTGAAGAGGAAGAATTTTCAATGTCACGAATAGCTGCCTACAAGAGTTCCTGTAACCAGTACCTGTGATTATTCTAAGTACTCTTTTCTGTACACGAAAAACACTTATAGCATATGATGAATTACCCCAAAATACAATACCAAATTTCATGAGTGAATGAAAATAAGCATAGTACACCGTTACTAATGTTGCCTGATTAACATATGGCTTCAAGGCTCTAATAGTAAAGCAAGCAGTGTTGAGTTTGGAAAGTAGTTGGTCAATATGTTTCTTCCATGACAGAGTATTTACAATATTAATACCCAGAAATTTAGTAGATCTTGTACTCAAAATATTCTTATTTCCATTGTTAATACTGATGGAATTGCACTGCTCCTCTGTGTTTTTGGCTATAAATTTAATAAAATGCGTTTTCGAGAGATTTAGGGATAATAGGTTTGCATTGAACCATGTAATTAAAATATTGGAGACTTCCTTAAGTCTGTCTAGAAGAGTAAACGGGTCAAATTCCTTGATAATTACACTGGTATCATCCGCAAAGAGAATAGGGGTGGAAACCTTATTTAGGATTAACGGAAGATCATTGATATAAACTAGAAAAAGCAAGGGCCCAAGAATGGAACCCTGGGGGACTCCATGAGAAATTTCACCCCAGTTGGAATAAGTACTTGAGCTAGAATGTTTTGATTGTAATCTTATTCTTTGAAACCTACCATTCAAATAAGATGCTATTAATTTGTGAAGTGGGCCAGATATACCATAAAATTCCAATTTAGATAACAATATCCCATGGTTAACACAGCTGGTTAGTGAGCTGGCGTCAGTCTGAGTTAAGTGGTTTGTCTGTGGTGCTCTGTTGTGTGCATTCCTGTTTCAACCCTTTGGCGATTAGTGAGATGGCCGACCAGAAGGAACAAAGAGTGTGCGTGAAATTGATGAAGATCGTTGAAAGACCATTGACCAACTTTCTGAGGAAACGAACATCTCATGGAGCACGGTCCAGCGAATTTTAACCGAAGGTTTGCACATGAGACGGGTGTCTGCAAAATTTGTTCCTCGCTTGCTCGGAGATGACCAAAGAGAACACCGCGTGAATGTTTGCCGCGACTTGAAGAGTGAAGTGCAGTTTTCCCTAACAGAAAGCAAAATTTCACTTTTGAATTCTTGGTAGCTCTTTCCTGTCTTCTTGATGTCTTCTCCATGCCCGACCATCTTGTTCTGCCTGGCTCATCCCACAAGTCTCGTTCCTTTAAATTTCAGTTGTCTCAATATCCCTGTTCTTCCAGTCCTTTTGCATGATGAAACTGTTGGAATCATTTCTCTTCTACTTCTTTTAGCTGATTTTTCAGTTCCAATTTCGTTTTTAAAAATTTATTTTCAGGTTATATCCTTTCTTGTTCCTATCGTGACATTTATCCAAAATTCAAAGAATATCAGCAATTCCTGCAAATTGATAAAAGCCTCAGAAAGAAAGATGCTTAACAGAATTTTCCACTGAGGTTAATTCAGCAGTTGGATTTCTACACTGTGTGGATTTGGGAAGTGTTGCCAATGTTTTCAAAGTACATCCAGCCTCAACTTTCCAGGTCAGCAGACAACACTTCGTGCATCTGGACAGCTTAAAACCAAAGAGCTGAAGCAACATCAACAGTGAACCAACATGAAAGCCCAAAGTCAGTAACAGTTACCTCTTTTTAATCGCTGTGTGACTTCTACCAGTCAAGAACACCTGTTCCCCCTTGCCCTGAGGATGAAGTAGGACACATGGCATCACTCCCCAGAGGACAACCTAGCAGCCACAGAGTTACCTCCGCACAGCCTAGACCTCTCCTTTTGTGATGCTTATGATCTCTTTGTTTACCCCTTTCGAACACACATGAGTTGCAGCAGAAGCGTTTGGTCTCGTAATTCTATTTTGTTTCAGTAAGAAGAGCAAGCGGAGGGCCCATTCAGATGACTACTACATCAAGCAGTTGATAGAGAATGATAAGCAGATGCTGCGAAACCAGCAACGGCAGCTGCAGCTTGATGAACAAGTGTCAACAGCAGCACTGCAGTTCTTCAGTGTTATGACTGCATACCTGAACAAAGTAAACAGCACTATGCAACCCCCCACAAGCAAGGACAGTACTGTGCCATCACCACCTGGCTTGTCTAAGCTTCCCTCTGACACAGAGCCCAGCCCTCAGGCTCAAACAACACAAAAAAGTGACTCTGTTGCCCCTCAGACAGTGAGACAAGTGAAAAGATTGTGTACAACTGACATTTCTCAGAACCCGATGTGTAATGGAGTTAGTTATCTCAAGAAGAGATAAAATGATTGTAATTTGAATGTCTTGTGAACGTGACAATGTCATACCCAAATGAGTAATCCTCAACTTGTCAATGATGCTGCTCTGGAGAGGCAGTGAAATGCCTGCACATTTTTCATTTCTGTGTTTTAGAGGAAATCAAATGAAATGTGCCATTTTATTTGCAGGTTGCCAACTTCAAGTTCTTGTCTTTAAGCTTAGGTACATGCTTCAGTTTGCTGTCATTACGTGGTACTAAGTGGTATTGTGACTAATTATTCTCTATGTGTTCGTTACAGCAGGTGCCATGATTTCAGTTTTTACCTTCTCCCAGCAAGCTACACATTCAACGGAACTGGTTGGCATAGCAGTAATGCCTGAGACTTGTGTGCAGGAGGTGCTCAGTTTGAATCCCAACTGGAAAGCTGGCTATAATGACTAATATTGTTCATGGTTTTCCTTAGTCCCACTAAGCAATTGCCAGGATATTACCTCAAATTAAGCCACAGTCAGTTCTGTAGAATCCTTTCCAATTCATCTTCCATCTATGATCCTGACATTCACCGCTGGAAATAGTCTAGCTATGGGCAACACTGTAAAATATCCCACAAGAAGTGTGCTGTTTCTCTTTGGCAGTTCACATGTTGCCACTCGAGTCGTACTGTCGGTAACTACAAACAGTGTTACAGTATCAAGAGTTCTTTGCTCTCTGCTACTGGGTAAGTGGCACAGCAGTGACTGGGGGTGGGGGTGGGTGCAGATTAGGGGGTTGTCACATCATGGAAGAAGGAAACATAACCCTTGGTCGCTAATTCTTCTGTTTAAATGATCTGGCTAGGCTGGTGATGGACCTGGAAGCAACTAATGTCACAACAGTGCAGGTACATGGACACGCCCACACCCCAGCTTCAGTACTTGCTGTGTAAACACAGGCGACATGCCCTCCTTGCTAAACATAGGGCACATTTCAGCATAAACATATTCGTAGCACCGATGACAATACGAGATCTCAAGTTCTCTTGGTAATGAGTATCAAGAATTCAGTCATCTGGGATGTCACTCCATGTAGATACGTTACCGAGCAACATCAACAGACTGTAAACTTATTAGCTGTAATGATGTCTATAATTTTGTTGCATTTAGTACATGGACACTGGGAATTATTTCTGTTTATTAAGGAGTAGAAGCGATCCTCATTATATGCAACGGTTGCATCCTTGAAAATGTTCATGTTTAGCGCACTGGACAGACATTGAGAATGATGCAGATGCAGTAGAGAATGACATGATGGAATCGAAATAGTGGGGACAACTCACTGAGCATGTGCAGAAACTTGTGCCATGGTGTCAGATAAAATATTGCTGCTCCTTAGGACACTGAAAGAAAACCTCAGATAACGAAACCATGTACAGCTAGTCACTTGAGCTGTCTTATATATTACATAGGTATTACAACCAAGCATTTTGATGTGTATTTGTGGTTCTGTATAGAAATTGTTGGCCTACATATCTCAAGCAATAAAGTTTACAGTAAAAAGTCTAGTTATCATATTGATTATTGTTACCAGGTTGGTATACCTTCAGAAGTGGTCAGGACACTGACTGTTCTGACTGTGGTTTACACTTCCTTCCAAATCATTATTCACCAATCACCTAACTGTAACTAACTGCATTATGTAGTATAAATACTGACAGTGTTGTAAAATAAAACACAAGCAAACGCGTTGTTTTATATATATATAAAATTAACACAGCTGATTTTGTAGTTTGGAATGCATTATTTCTATGAAATGGCCGGGACATGTGGCAAACATGGGAGACAAAGGCAATGCATACAGAGTTTTTGTAAGGAAACTTGAAGGGCACTTGGAATACCTAGGAATAGGTAAAAGTTATTCCTGTAATGGGCCGTGGATGCCCATAGGTTTGTAAGACGTCGAGGCTCCCACGTTTTCTAGACAGTTTGCTCATAGATGGCGGTGATGTCAGCCTTATGCGCCGGCTGACCTTTACCCTCCCCCAGGAAGATTCCTGGTACTCATTTCTGTTAGAGGCTGAGTTGACCCCAGGTCCATAGTATGGCTGGAAGGATTAAGTAAATTTAAAAATCCAGACCGAGGATATGATAATGTGCTGCCTGCTCAGGGCTATGACACACATCAGAAGGCAGCGATAAATGTGTATGGAGCAATGGCTGAATGGTTATTAGCAGCAGAAAATAAAGAAAATCCCGCTCCAGTGTCGTTTTGTCCCCCACGAATCTCACATGAAGTCACCCGGGATCGAATCCAGGCTCGGCGGTGGGAAGCTGCATCCTGACCGACCGCCTCATTGACGCATCTGGGAGATTCAACACATCACTAAATAAACCAAGACTGTAAAACATTGCAGCGTTTCGCGAGACACAGTTTGTGAACCCCAGTACTAACGAGACAAGAGCAATATGGTCGGGTCCATCCATTCATTCGAATAATTATTATTTTCTTCCGCCACTTGCATGAAGATGCTACTCGGGGAGAAAGTGTTTGGACAGAGAGAGTAGAGAAAGTCCCATTCCTCTGACCTTCACTTGATAGAGTCCTGGTTGACCTTTTACATTTACTTTGACCGAAGACGTTCAGAATAAGTAACAGTCACAAAACCCGTTCAGAGCCGTACACGGAAAACTGGAGGAGTGCGTTCACTTTGTGCTCTTAATGACAGCTGCATACATTTGCAGTTTATTTGACGATCATGTCGGTCACTCAGATTGTATAGCAGGGCCTAGCCAAACTCACTGAACGTCGGAGTCAAATATGGCAGTTTCCATAAACTGTGGGGCCGCAAACGGACGTGGATTGGATGACACAGGTGTCTGGGTACAGGCTTACCACGCTGCGGAATTATTATATTTGATATATTTCTGAGAAAAAGAAGGGATTCCCTAATATGATTTTCCGCGACCCGCACTAGCGGTTCAAAGGATATATGCTATGAGTCACAGTTTGCCCTTGCTTGCTATAAAACGTCGAGTGATGTGTATGTGCAGAGGTCCTCGACAATAGATGGATATGAGTGCTCAGCTTCCCGCTTCTGTCGCTTTACCCCCGGGGAAAGAACCGCCGATACTCATTGTATAGGACGCTGGGTGGGCCCCAGAGGCGGTCTGGACGTTGCGGAGAAGAGAAAAATCTTGCCCCCGCCGGGAATCGAACCTCGGGCATCAAACTAATCGCTCGACATAATCTTTGGTGTGGATGTTGGGCTGTTGCTATAAGGGAGGTGCTGACATCGACTCTAGGTCTCTAGGCAGACAATGCTGTGGCTAGTGCACAGAGAAACCAATGCATGATCAGGCGAAATGGCCGTTTTGAATTCCAAGTTTAACCGCTAGAATGAGCCACGAGCATTCGATCATATGAGACGTCCGAACCTGTTTATATTACACGAGACACCTGATGGACTAAACTCCGCTATTTCTGACTTCATTGCTGGAGCTAGAGAAACTGAAATGTAAGTGTCTACTAATGCTGCACTGAACCTTTAAAAATAACATTAGTTTCAAAGTACGCATTGGACGCTGAATTTTCTTTGAGGTTATTTTATGACGATGTCACAATTCCATGACAGGAAACAGGAAACAAAGGATTGTATATATGCCACATCGATAAAGGTTTTCTTGGCTTTCTTTCCTCTTCAATCACATGAGCAGTTTGGTTGCCAGGTTCCAAGTTGCTACTGCGTGCTTCTCATGCATCCTTCCCAGTTCATCAAAAGCAAACACTTTCGTGTGGAGGCCTAAAAATTAGTATTCCAAATTATTCCATTCAATTAATCAGAAAATGAAAATTGCGCAGTCCCTATTGACAGTGGTTCTCGAAACTGCCTATTTAACATGAAAATAACGAAAGCTTTCCCTGAACACCGAGGCTAGTGAGCACTGTTCAGGTCCTGCATGACCTCCATGCTACCAGGCAGTTACTGTTTACACGTAACGGACAACTTCAAAGGCGCATAACAGACATCTCATTTCATAAGCAAAGAAGTTTTATTATGAAGTTTACGATTTCACTTGACAGACGTAGAATTGATTCAGTGATCTCGCGCTGCTTACTCTGGGACGTACTGTGCATACAGTTCTGGCGCAACTGATCCACAAATGCGAACTTGTGCGGATTGCGTGAAAGTTCCTATTGTTGCAGCGAGGAACCCGAGAGTCCTCGTGCTCTGTAGAAGAGTTACGCGAGGCACTGAGTGCACTCTCGGTAGAATCTCCTTCCTCATTCAATATTTGTTTTGCGGTGTCAGCAATCTTTCCCATTATATGGGACACTCAACTCTACCAGCGCAGGTTGCCACACAAGTGCAGCTGTTGCAACAAGGGCCAGATCGAATACTGCAATTAACTTCTTCGTTACGGCTTCTGAAGTAACGAGGTAAAAGTAAAAGCTAAGATGCCCCTGTGCTTTTTTAAGAGCTATGCCACAGGGGAGTGGAGGTATATCTCGACATATTATTAAGCTTGGCACCAGCTAAAGGTGAGTAGTAGGTTTCATGCTCGAACCCAAGCGCCCAAGAGGTTGGGTAGGCCCCAGGACCTGCCGACTTCTCTTGGGAAGAGAGAAATGTCTGCCCTTGTCGGAAATTTAATCCGAGTAGCTTTGCCCCAAACTAGTCGCTGTGCTGAGCTAATTTGTCTCTGCCCACCCAACAACACTTTCTGTATTTTAATATCCTTATAAAATGCATCTAAGTAGATCACAATGATAAAGGATTATCCTTGAGCCGTGCTCTTAAATGGGAAGATAATATTAAAATGAATCTAAAAACATTAGGCAGTCAGAACGTGGATTGGATTCAACTGGCCAGTAGAAGGACAATTAAACATTTATGTGAAAAATATAATGAACCCTTGGGTGGCACACAAGGCTGGGAATTTCCTCACTAGCTGGGTGGCTGCTACCTTCTCACGGAGTAGGTTAGTTTGTTTGTTAGACACGAATAACGACAGAATGCAAATGTTTGGTGTGGAGGCTCTTGTGCTCTGCGTCATTTGAGAGATGAATAAAGAAACCGGCAGTTTTACATTACTGATGCTACGGAATTAGAAAGCAGAGAAATGGACTGACATATTGCTTATACCACGTTTCATGACAACCTGTCAGTTGCTTCTTATGGAAGGGACAAACATGCGGACGTGTTGCGTCATGTACCATAAGCCTCTGTTTCCTTAAAAAGAAATACGAAAGCGTGCTAAAAATGAACGCTGCAATGGGCCTTGTGCTAAGGCAAGTTAAAATGTAGCACTTCATTTTGCTCATTGTATACAGAAACTCCGGGGCACGCGGTAGCATACCTGGTTCAGGCACTATGCTACAATCCGGAAGGCTGCAGGTTCGATTCCCGATGAGGTCACTGGATTTTTCAATTGACCTAATCCTTCTAGCCGCACTATGGCCCTAATAGAAATAAGTACCAGAAATTTTCCTGAGTGTAAAAGGCGGCCGGCCTGCGCGTAAGGCTGACAAACTCACCGCCATCTGTGAGCCGACTGTCTAGAAAATGTGGGAGCCTCGACGTCTCACAAAAATATGGGCCTTCACGGCCTGTTAGAGGGATAGCTTCACCTTTTTTTTTATACATATATTTTTCTGCTCCTGTTTCTACTTCCAGCCTGTCCCATCTTCAGTTGATTTCATCTCTCCAATTTGTCTTGGTCTTCCTGTTCTCCTGTGTCCTTCTTCGTTGTAATTTAATGGTGTCTTCGGGAGGTACTTTTCCCCCATTCGTGAAATGCGGACAATTCATTTTTCTGTTTCGTAGTTCAGAATCGTGGCCGACGGCTGGGGCGGGGCGGGGCGGGGAATCCTGGAGACGTCCATGTTCTCATCACAGGCACGTGAATGGCCCCATGTTTCTGTATTTGTTTCGAACTGCAGGAGGGCAAATACATTCACTGGTCCCCGGAACATCACTTCACTTTCTTCCTCTCTTTTATCCGAGAGAGTCAGTCTTCCGGTTACCTGTACTTCAGCATTGTGACTGCCATCGCTTCAGCTGTGCGCTTTGTACGTTTCCCCGAGAGTAAGGACCAATTACTTCTTATGTTATACAGATCTCGTACTTGCTTGCAAAAATGAAGGAAACAGAATGTGTACACTTTACGTACCGCCTCTGTGATAGTTGGATCTGAGTGTCTTCCTTTCTAACAGTGGAGCAGTAACGAATCTTTAATATCAGTTCATTACGCGGACGCCATATGTTGATGCCGGTACAACCCAACTGTTGCTGGACTTCGAGACGCGAACAAACCTATCCAATTCTTTCTTCCGTGACACCATTAGTATCCTCGTGCGTCGTGGCCAGAGAAATCAGGTAACAGAACGCGCCCTCTGCGTTACAACTTCAATATTTCACACACAACTCAGATCGATTTACATCAGCTCGCTCACATGTAACGCTAGTCTGCGTGGCATGAAACACATCTTCAGTGCTCGGTAAGAAGGGTTAAAGTCAAATTTTGTCAGTTTTTACTTATGTTGAGGTTTAAAGTTCTCCAAAGCAATCAACATGAACATTGCTGTCTCCTGGGATGTGATGCCATTTTGTTTGGTACAAAAGAACCCAAGATTTGGAGGAGCATTCAAAGTAACATGAGAAAACACAACGCATGCTTGTGCTGAGCTCCATATGTTTTGTACAATTAGATTTACAGCAATGGATTTATGTAATAAAGTAAGTGAACAACAGTGAGGAACATCAAAACAGCAAATAAATTATCTGCAGAAGCTGTACAGTCAAGGTGACATTCTCACTGTAATTCCTTACTGCTCTTCTGGGCATCGCTGCTTGTGCTTATTTCTTTCTGAGCGGTACTGTACTTGGCCAACCTCGTTTCGTATTCCCCTTAGGCTATTCGAGAACATCTCTGCATTGATATTTCTGAATATAAGCAGTTCCTAATCACGAATCCAATTTGGCGTCCATGAAAGGAACAGACACAGGGCGGTATGTTATCTCGCGTGATCTCTCATTCTTGTGGTTCGTGCCTCGACTCAAAGTTCCCGCACTCTAAACCCGTGTAGGTGTAAATCATTTGACCAAAGTGCTGCACGAACTTTGAAACTAGGATAAAACACTGGATACCATGACTATTTTTGGGCCGCGCCATAGCTCAAGCGGTTAGTCGCTGGCTTCCCACAGCGGCTGCCCGGGTTCGATCCCAGGTCTGGTCAAGTGGGATCTGTGATGGAAAAAGTGGCGCAGGAGCAGATTTTCTCCGAGTACTTCGGTTTCCCCTGCCAGTCTTCATTCCACCAATTGCTCCACAATCACCCTCACCTATCATCTGGGGCTGGTACAATAGGCCAGAAGCGGCCGCAGTACAAGGGACTTAGTCCCACCCCACCAGCACTAAAGAAATGCTATTTTTGCGGGGCACGCGGTAGCGTAGCTGGTTGAGGCGCTACGCTACAAGCCCGCAGATCGCGGATTCGCTTCGCGATGTCATTAGACTTTTCAGTTGACCTAACCTTCCAGCCGCACTATGGCCCCTGGGGTCGACTCAGCCTCTAACAGAAATGAGTACCCGGAATCTTCCTGGGGGGGGGTAAGGGCAGCTGCAGCGTAAGGCTGACAACCCCACAGCCATCCTTGAGCCGATTGTCTAGAAAACGTGGGATCCTCGACGCCTTACAACTCTATGGACCTTCACGGCCTGTTACAGGGAAAGTTGTACATATTTATGAATATTTTTGCGATTTTATTTCATTTCTTGACTAGTTTTGATTTAGTACTTAAAACAGACCATGACAAAACCCTCCTGCCAATATTTTCACTGCAGTTTTTGCATCTCATGTAACGCTCAAGTTGATATTAAATCCACGATCCTGAGGTCTTCTTGAGAAACTGATAGTCGCTATTCTTGTGAAGAAATTCCCAGCCTTTTAGGAAACTCGAAGATCCACTATCATATTCACAAGACTCCACCAACAGAATCTATCCTGAGTCAAATCAATCCATTCCTTGCTTTCATATACCCATATTTGTTTAATGTGCGTTTTAATATTATCCTTGATCTACGTTCAGTTTATCAGTTGCAAACGAACAGTTTTTTTTTTAATTTCAGATACATTCCAGTCCTTCTGCTGAAAATTCTATCAGTTTCATTTTGTGAACAATGTTCACATTTTTTCCAATTCTCTTGGTCAGGACTCTGCAACCATTGCAATTTAGTTTGCTTCTTTCCATCAAACAATTTTGAAAAACAAATTCGACAAAGCATGGTTATGATGATTTAACTCAAAATAATGTAAACTCTCTTCAGCCGATGTTTCGATATCCTCTCTGGTATCTAATCAAAGGTCTTCAAAGCAGTGAATCTACTTGAGACATTTACCGTGGCCAGTTCTTCCGGAGTCACAAGTCAACTTTGTTCCTTCACATTTAACGGCGACGCTGAGCCTCCACACGTTGCATAACTGAGTACTGAGTTCGATGGAATATCGGCATATCCCCGAACAGACGGAGAAAATAACGAGAAATTTCGGTGGCCACAATCAATTCGCCTTCTTGGATTCGAAACGAGGCCTGTAGGTCCAATCTCTAAGACGATTTGTGGCTTCTTTCATTCACTCACCCACTCACTCACACTACAACGTTCACGCTGAAGAGAACTGACAGTTGCATATCATGTCGTGTTGTCCGGAGAAGTTCTGCTTGCTCCTTAATTGGCTCACCATAAGTTCCCCCGCAAGTATACGAACTTCGTCGGACTTCACGGCGTCACATCCCGGAATATAACAACTGCTGTGAGAGCCTCAAATCATTCTCATGCCTCATCTGACCTTTGTAAAAAATACACTGTCGTTAAACAATAAGCGACACACGGAATCACCATCTTGTGAAATTAATAACAATATTAGCAGGATCAACCAACTGCACAGAGCAGTTCCTTCAACAGAAGCAACCAATCATCCAATTGGCAAAGTAATTAATTACATTATTCACAAGAGTCCGCCACTGGATCCTATTCTGAGCCAGCTGAATCCAGTGCGACCTATATCATTAACTATTAAGTCGACGTCAAAAATTCTAAGTACATTCAACAGTGCAGTTACGTAATAATTCATGCATTTAATGTCGGCCATGACAGTTGACACGATCCTGACAATTAAGCACTAAGAGAATACCACGGCAACACACCAACTTACCGGTATGCGAACACGAGACGCCACAGACGGTAATGATCGACTTGGACCCCTGAGAGTAATGCACTTGTATTTATAAGACTGAGTCTGGGGGGGGGGTTACGTGACCTACCTTGTTCACATCGGTACAGCACCAAGAGAAAGGGCCCTCTTCACTCTCGCCTTCAAACAAGTGACTCTCGCTTCTCATGAAGATCTCACAAACTTCAGAAGGCTCGTGTTTCGTCTGGGTCTGATTTGTGTCAGAGTTGAAGCGTCGCGGTAACAAGGAGGTTAGCCCAAATTAACTTAATTCCGAGTTAGAGATAATGAACAAAAAGTCTGAACGTACCGCAATAGAAGTCATTACGTCACTCCGAATGCTCTCCTCGCAAGCGAAAGTAACTTACGTCCCTGTGCTTAATTACACGCCAAGGCATCGAGACGTATGGAGTAATGGAGGTATAGCTCCACGCATAATTAACCTAGACGCCAGAGGGGCGGAATAGCAAGCTTCACGCTATTGCCGCACTGCACTTGGGGAATTCGGACAGGAAGCTGTGCGGCTCAGAGCCGGTCTGGACGCCGTGGGAAAGAGAAAACCTCTTTCCCCTGCTGGGAATCGAGCCTCGATTGCTCGGTCGCCCATCCTGTAGCCTAATCAGGATACAGACGTGAGCACAGCGTGGCACAACTAAACCAGTTCACTCACGAACTCGACGGGGAGGAATTCCATTTGAGAAACTGATAGTGGTTCAGCTGATCCATACCTCTCCCGTCTTACATAAAACCCGAGGTTTCATGGCCGTGTCTACGAAGTCCGCCACTGGTCCCTGTCCTGAGCCAGACGAATCTAGTCCATACCCTCATACTCGGCTATTTTTAGAATCAATATTAATGTTATCCTCCGTACTAGCCCCCCCCCCAGTCCTTGTATCAGTGCAATAAAGAAGTGTCCCGCGATTACAGTACCCGAGTGGCTTATAGTTCCTACTTCCCAATTTATGTCTCTTAGAGACCTTAATCATCCCGAAGAAGCCAGTATTTTGCTCTGTCTAAACATGTTCGAGGGCGCACCGTTTGCAGCATCAAAAGTATTTCCAGATATAAGTGTGCTGTTGAGTTCATGGAGGTTGGAAAACTGTGCAACCTGCAGCCAGTGGTCCCTAGAAGCGTCAGGCAGGATATCTGAATGCCGCGAGAAAACGAGAAGTATAGTAGTTGTCCCTGACGAGATTCGAACCGGGCACTTCTACAATACAATTCGAGAGCATTACCGGTTGAACCAAGTTGTCCGGTAATTTCGTTCGGTAACTTCCTGAGTAACATCAGGATTTTGTTTATATGCATAACGTGTCTTGGCCCATACAGCTCAGACAGCTGTAATTATCCTAACACAAATCCATGAACACAAGTTTCGCCGGAGGAGCGGATGGTCTAGCCTGTAAGGCGTTTTGCACCATTGGCATCCTACCTAGCTGAACCTTAAAATATCAAACACACACGCACACACACCTCGAAACCCTTCGTCAAAGTCCTGAGTTTTGGCACTGTGGCCACTTTCCATTGTTACCTTTGCACGAGCCTGGCGTCCCTATCGTCCACTAATACAGAGAACTGTTTCTGGAAGACCCACCCGAAGCAAAGCTGCGTCCTGTTGTCAGTAAACCGACAAACTGTGCGAGACTCTTTGGTCTCTTCCCGCCCATACCCTCCGCTCTTACGTTAAGAAACCCCAACGGGCGACTCAACAATGTTATTAAGAAACGTAAGGAAGTGTTCCCATCCTAATTATGTCACAGATTGAAGTAATTACAGAGTTTCACAAGTCTAGCCTGAATGAGATCATATTGGGAAGAAACGCGTCGCATTCCTCTCGTACAGTTCTCTCAGGAACGTGGAGGTTCCGGCTGGCACACAGCTCACTTTGCTTATGTGAGAAATGCCTCAAAGAGCAGACACCTCATTACTGAATTGAAATGAAAATCTGTTTGTAACATTCGAGAAAACGCACATGCGAATATGGCATTTTGCAACAACATTCCAGGGGAAACTAAATATCAAGATATAGGGCGCGCCATAGCTCAACCGGTTAGTCGCTGGCTTTCCACCGCGGCGTCCCGGGTTCGAGCCTCAGTCTCGTCAAGTGGGATTTGTGGTGGACAAAGTGGCGCTGGGGAGAGTTTTCTCCGAGTACTTAGGTTTCCCCTGCCAAATCTTCATTCCACTAAATTCTCCATCATCATAATCACCCGGGGCGGGTACAATAGGGCAATCAGTGGCCGCCGTGCCGAGTGGACCCAGTTGGACTCCACCCCCCACTAAGCGAATTTTAAAAGAAAAAGATCAAGACATAAAGCGTTCCTTGTTACAGACTCACACTTCACTTGTGGCCACTTCTGCGCTACCAAAGGCTCTCCACAACAGAAACATTACTGCTGATGTAAATGTTCCCGCTTCAGTGCCTCTGGCTGTGTCATTCACATGCGTAAGGTAATGTCGGTCAGGCAGCTGCCTGCAAACTTACGGTGATTCATACACTTCTGAAGAAGTTTACAGTTTGGGTATGCAAATCCTTTTCTCCTCCATAGATTACAAACTATTTCAGACAATTAAAACTACTAACTTGTTCCACTATCCTATCACTACTGCGCGTCTCGCGCATAACGGTTTCCGTCCCTCCGCGTTTTCGAACATATCCGCGAAAACTGTTGTACAGTTACGATTTAAGGTTTTCGCAGCGGTGGTTAAGAATAAAACTATCTTCTGGGATATTAACGCCGTGTAGCCGGCTGAAACTCAACTTACGTTTCGGAGGAACATCCCCCCTCCATCTTCATGGTTCAATAAGATACCAGCGTAAAAGCAGATGAAGATGGAGGCAGTACGTTCTTTCGAAACGTCGGTTGACTTACAACGTACTGCATGACATAACCCAGAAGATAGAATTCTTCAGAGGAGCAGTAACTAAAAGTATGCCGCATAATTAAGAAGGAAACACGCGACACTAGACAACGGAACGAAACAAATGTTAACAGTGTAATATTGCCAAATTGCAGTCACTTATTTTCCTTAACAAGTCTCTCGTGTTTTCGCCGAAATACAAGGGAGGACGCCCGATTTGTGCTGAAACGGCCTGCAATCACACACAACAATTGTGTAAATACGGAGTTTTGTACAGTGTGCATTGTTAGCAGCCAGGCAGCATGCTCTGAGTGCGCGCCGTTCCCACATTAAGCAAACCCATGCGGCCTTCTCGGGTCCTGCGATGTTACGTAAGCCTAATGACAGATGTACACAAATCCAATTGTCTACTTCCATAGCTTTTGTAGGAGTGAGGTTAGGACACGAAATTTGACCCGGCCAATTCATTTGTTCGCTTCCCGTCAGTCATTGCAAAAATGTTCGCGGTGCGGGCCTATGTTCCAGCCGCCGCACGAGTATTGCAAAGCGACTGGAAGGAAGATGTAGTGCCCTCAACACCAAATTTCATGCATGTCCATCCAGCAGTTCTCCGGTCGTTTCATGCAACTGCATGGACTGACTGCGCGCCGCAGGATTGCCAACATTCCTGAGGAGGGATGAAGTCCCGGAACTGTCCCGCTGTGGGAACATTTCCTACGCTGCTTGTGGGGCAGTCTCCCCGAAACATCTTCGGAAACGCCTCGAAGCGAGAACACAAAATGCAGAGCTATGAGCAATCTCATAATCTGAACGCACCTCCTTCTGGCAGATTCACTAGGTAGGGGTAACATTAATCCTGTGTTTAAGTGACGACCACACCAGGAAGATGTATGGGGGAGTGGAGATGTAGTTCCGCATATTCTTAACCTCTGCGGAAGATGGGTGTGAGTGGTCAGGTGAGCCTGACGCTCACCCCGGGGAATGAGTCCGCGGCACCCATTGGGTAAGATACTGGATGGACCCCAAAGTCGGTTTGAGAGCGGCAGAGAAACGTTTTTGCCTCTGGAGAGAAACAAAGTGCGATTCCTCCGTGATGCAGACCGAAAGCTAAATTCCATGCTCCTGTTAGTTGCTCATCAGCCAGCTCCTTGTTTGCAATGTGAAGGTGCAGAACTGGCAACACTGCTGTAGCATGTAGGTTGATCTTAATGGAGCCATTGAGCCCGGGGTCTCGGGTTGTGGTCCCTTTTATTGCGATGTGTCACTGTGACGCAGCAATGAGAGAGACAGATGTAGAGAGTGGGTTTCCCAACGAGGCAGGAAGTGTCTGTAGCGTGGTAAAGGTTTTACAGCCACATGTGTGAATATGGACATGTATGGGTGTGAAACTTGGTCTTTCACATTACAGAAAGAACATGAATAAAGTTTTGGAACAGGGTGCTGATAGGAGTATCTGAGTCAAAAAGAGACAAACTGACTAGAAAGATGGGAAAAGAACTGCGTAATGGGGCCCATCACAATTTGTAATTTTTGGCGAATATTATTAGGGCGATCAGAGCAAGAAGAGATAACCACAGTATGTAGCACGCACGGGTGATATGTGAAGTGCATACAGATTTTGGTAGGAAATCCTGAAAGGAAGAGACAACTTGGAAGACCTAGGCGTAGACGGGAGAATGGATCTAATTGGAACAAAATGGGAGAGTGTGGACCGGATTCATCTGGCTTAGGATAGGGAGCTTTGAAGGACAATTGTGAATAAGACAAAGGAGCCTCAGGTTGCACAGGAGAGGGGGAATGCTTTGACTAGCTGAGCGACTGCAGGCTTCTCTAGACAGTCTGTGCTGCATGGCGTTGGTAAGTTTACTTTGTCATTATCAGAGGCCCAAAGCTGCAACGGCAGAGGAGGAGCGACATGGTCAGGAGCCAAAAGATGTTACAGTCATGCAAGCTCTGCCTGTCAATGAACACGTGAAATAAAAACAAAAGCTGGAGATGTTGAAACATTAGAAACCGAGAAGAGAGCTTAATCATATTTCACTCTAGCAAACAAATGAACGCGCACATCTGCATAACAGTCCGACGGCTATTAAAATCTGAAAGGCTTCACCAATTGTTGTTGATGCGCTGTGACTTTCAGTTGCCGCAAGCGCAGGAAAGTGTGTCGCCATGTTGTCTGACCGACGCGACGTTCCACTCAAAGAGACGCGTGGCGAACAATGTAACCAGGATCATATTTGTGAGGGTCGGCGTTCAACTCCAGTCGCCGGAAATATCCAGGATCATTCTAACTAAATTTCATTACACAAGAAATGATCTTCCGGCTAATAAAGGAATATTTATCTCACTACATTTCGTTTATGAATATAAAATTATATTTCAGGCCCCTCAAAATGTCTATCAGTCCCAAAATGTATTCTTAAACTCGATAATGATATACGTACATTGCGATGAGTAAAAATTACAAAACTGGAGAATTTGATTGCTTCTGGGAATCTCTGATATTTCATGTATGTGCATTGAAATTGCAATGGAAATTGTTGCGGCCATGGGCACTACACTCGGTCACCCTGCGCTTCCCTCTCTGTAAACCATCTTCTCACATTCCTGCCCTTAAGGGGCAACCTGAGACTGCGATTTCACTCTATATGCACGGTATGAACTTCCGAACTTCTGGAAGCGCTGACAAACTTATACCGGGATAATAATTTCTGTAAAATAAAAATGCCCACTAAACAGTTCTGATATGTATCGTGCCCTATGACCACCTTTCGGCAAAGGTGCACACTGTAATACCGATTTAAGAATTCCTTCCGAACCCAACATTAATTTATTGTAATAAGAAAAGTGTAGTTAATTAAACACCACTCCATGAAAAAGGGTGTGTTGAGGTACAGCTCCACTCTCGTTAACCATATTATCAGACGGAAGCGAGTAGTCAGCTTCACGCCTCGGCCGCTTTACCCCTGGTATCCATTGTATACGAGGCTGAGCATGACATCAGAACCGGTCAGGACGCCATGAAGAAATGGAGAATCCCTTGCCTTTGCAGGAAATGGCGGTAGAGCAACCAGCAGCCCAGTTGCTGCAGCTCCAAGGATTTGCAAGGGGGGAAATCAAAACTGGAACCGAAAGAGTCCCGTTTCTTCTCGTAATGCGTGACATTTCATTTACACATTTGCTGCTTGCGATCGACTGGAAGAGACGACAAGAGGAGGTGCATATTTAGATATGTAACCGCAAGCTCAGAGCCACCTGCTTACGCGTTAGCGGATTGTCTTCAACTTTGATATTACACCAATGGCTACTTTCTGAAAATAGTACCTGAAGAGGGTGGCAATGTTTGTTTCGGTCGATACTGATCGATTCCAGTGACTTCTTTCTTCTAATGCTCCCGATGCATGGGTGTGAAACCTGGTTCCTCACTTGGATGAAAGAATTACAGAGACTGGAGAAAACTGTGAAATCACAGAACATGTGACACGTATGAAGAAGTTAATGAATGGCTACGAACATTGTTTGGAACAGGCGAAGAGAGGAGACCACCTGGGAGGCTTGAAAATAAACCTGAAGATAATATTAAAGTAAATCTTTAAGATATATGGTGCAAAGTTGTGCAGTGAAATCAAGACGGGTCCAGTGCAGACCCTTGCGAGTATAGTAATGTACCTTCGAGTACCATGTGATTTGGTTAATTCCTTGAATTGCTTAGAGACAATCAACTCATTAAAGAGTGCTCCATCCCATGGAGATGTTCACGTACTGCATATGGTGTCAAGGTTGAGAATATACGGAGATTTACCTCCAGTCTCCTGCAAGTCTGCATGGCATCGTGCATAACTGATTACATCTAAGAACCTTATTGACTTTACGTCCACCGCAACAAAGTGCTGTATATGTGTCCTTGGTTCAATCCGAGACCTGATGCCACACATGTGCAAATGTGGACGTCATATAGACCGAGAATTGTGTAATATACGTAATTATATGTTTTGTCTCGTGATGCACATCTGCACGTTCCTTTGTTTCTTATATATAAGCTCCATTCTGATGCTTCAGTATGGCCGGTCTAAAGCCTGCAATTAATACTTTTTGTTTTCTCGGTGAAAGTGGCCACCAAGACAACCGGACTTCAAAGCGTCGGCAAAGTTGCACATTTCCATAAAATTTGTAATTATAACTTGGGTTGTGTGGGCAGCAGGACACGTGCAAAAGTTAAAAAGAAATTAAAAATACGAATTGCGCAAGAATTCTGACGTCTTCGCTCACTCTTCCTCTCTCGAAAACTGCAAGACATGCGGCAACAGTGCCCCCCGGTGTTTCGCTCCTCTCTAGAACTTTTGTTCGGAACAGTTTTCCATCTGGTGAGTATGTGGTGATGCCTCTGGACTCCAGACCTTCCATGTGAGTGCCTCTTACCGCTCTTTCGTTCTGATTCTGCTTTTACTATTTTTACAAATTTTATTCCAAGTCTTCAGTATAAAAGGTAACTCTATCCCTGTAACAGGCCGTGAAGGCCCATTGGGTTGCGAGACGTCGAGGTTCCCACCTTTTCTAGACAATCAGCTCACAGATGGCGGTAAGGTTGT